AATTTTGAACTGACAAATTAGATCTTCTCCTCCTTTTCAATTTAATTCTATTATTTTATTACACTGTTTTCTTCTTCAAATAATTGTTTATCAATGAATAAAGACACAAAAGTAGCAAAGAGCTATTGAGCTTTATCAATCAATAAGACAATGCAAGTTGAGGATGACAAATAATAATTATTATAATTTTTTAATTGCTACTTGCAATATATTAATGTCACAATTATACCATCAAGTTGATGTTTTATATAATTTTTTTTTTTATATATATATAGTTTGTTTCCTTGTTTAATTATAATTATATTGTAATTAAATCCAACCAATTATTTCATTCATATTCATGCATCTGAAGCCATTCTATTTTCTATATATTATATTATATAATAAAGTATGGGATTTAGTTATAGTCGACATCGTTTATTTGAATTTTTGTATTAATAATGGATAAAAGTTATGGGCTTCTTTTAAAGTTAACTTTATAATTTTGTTATACACCTTCATGTGTTAATTAAATTGTATTTTAAATCGAAACAAATTCGCTCATATACAAAAAAACACCAGATCTTTTATGAAAATAATATTGTTGTGCTTCCTATGTATATATTTCATATTCTATTCTGATTATTCAATCAGAGTACTCTTATAAATACCAACATTATTGTTGGAACAAGAAATTTTTTCACCTATTTTGGCATATAGGTCTTTTATTCTTTTCTGCTGCTGTCTTTCACATATTGTCTGGTCGCTGCAACAAGCTAACTGTAACTTGTTTTGTCTTATCTCTCGGTTGGTAGCTTTACATGACAAAAAGGATGAATACTTTGGATTAGTATATATGAACACACCATACCATTTAGGTGGAAGAGGTTTTAATTATGTTTGTCTTGCATGACCTGCAAGGTGACTATTTTGTTTACCGTGATTCAGAGTGTGATTGTTGTAAGGGTTTTTAGAGTGAAGTATAGTGAGAGAAAGTGAGTTCAATCTTTTCAACCTCAACCCTTCTCTTCTTTTCTTTATGTATTAAGTGAGTATCTGTCACTTTTATCTCGCCAGAGAGTTTACCGGAGGAAGGAGAAATCGAAGTTTCGATTAGGGAAGGCATCCGGATTATGAGCAGCCTTGCTATTTGGTAGTTGTCAATACTCATTTGTGACGACGTATACCTGTGGAGGAGTTTTTCTAGGTAACTAGTATTGTAGTATGGGTTGAAGGAGTTTTGGTTGTTTCTGTTCTTAATCAGCACTGATTAGTGAACTTCTCTTGAATTGGTATTCCCAAATGTATGATTGCTTATATCCGAACTGGGTAAACAAACCCTTGTCTCATTTACTGTTTTGTTTTTCTGCATGCATTCAGTTAGCAGTAGGGTGTTATAACTTTAATATAACTATGTTTCAGAAGTTGACCCTTGAATGGGTGTTCGAAGGAGTTTTGGTGCAACGCCTATTCCCCAATAATTATTAACTAGCCGACTTGTTTTGCCATCTTGATTCCTCTCCAACTCCTTCCTCAATGTTCGATTTGAATGTCTTCCAAAGTTATATGATTGATTTTTTGGGTTTGCTTCGGTTTCTAAATTTTCATTACATTTTTTATCTTTGCACTTTATTTATTTTATTTTATTTAATTTACTTTCAAATCCTAGGATCAGGTTAAATTGTATTGTTAAAATATGGGCGGATATCTAAAAATACGGCGAATTTATGAAGGATCATCAATAAACAAAGTCTTAGTTGATTTTAATACGGAATATTTATTATAAAAATTGGTGAAGATAATTTTTCATAAAGGACATTAAAAACTTGTAAAAAATAAAATAAAATTGGTGAAGATACTATTGTTGATGGAAGTTATTCGAAGAACATTACATGAATTCAATGAAATCATGATGATAAGGTTAGTTCATGGAGTAACAAATAGATTTAGTAACAAAGAATTAATTATTGGAGCTTCAAAATGATATAAGAGGAAGACTTGGGAGGAAATTGACTACCAACACAACACACCACAAAATTATCTTTCTTTTTATTTTAATAATAATAATAATAATTATTATTATTATTATTTTTTTTTTTTTTAGATTGTGTGGAATATAATAATTTTAGAAAAATGAGTAAGATTTTTTCAAAAAAAAAAAAAAAAACACACCCTTTATTTTTTATTATTTATATTTTATAAAAACTTAATCTTATTTTTAACTTATTATATCAAATAATTATTTAAATTTAAAATTTTACTATTTAAAACATAAATCCAAAATTCAAACCTTAAAAAACCTTTAAAAAATACATCTTATATAACTTTTTAGCATTTTTTTAGAATTGCTTATAAATAAATTTATATGATAATAAAATACATTTGGGGTGGGGGAGAGGGCTGCAGCCCACTTACCCCCACTTATCTATTGTGTTCTTGGTAAATTTTTGACTGAAACTAATATTTTGTAAATTATGTTTAACAAAGCAAAATCACACGAATTATGTGTGACAAGTGAATTTAAAAACGTAAAAAATTTGAACATATGATCTCGCAGTCACGAGTTTACCCCAAATATATTGTGCACAATTGCAATATTCATTTCAAGTATAGTAGATTATGATGTGGATATTGAGAATAAATTAAAATAAATTAGCCATGCGCAATACGATTGTTGAGATATTTTAGATATTCAGTTCTAAATTTAGTAGATTTATATTTAGATTTGGTCTTATTTATAGATTAGATTATTTAGATTTGAGTCTATCGAATCCGTTTTATATTGTCTATATAGATCAATAACACAATCTCATTATTTTTCTCCAAAATTTCTAACAACGATAAAATAAATAAATGCTTACATTGAATAATATATGTGGTGGGTTCTACCATATCACATGATCTTGCACAACAAATTCAATTTGATTTTTGAATTCGAATTTTAAAGCAATAAATTTTCGGGCAATTTTTATTATAAAAATATTATATAGGCGCAAATCCCATGTTGATATGGTCGATTGAATCTGTATATATCATAAAAATAAATAATATAATATATGGTTGTTATAAAATATTATATGTTGTGTTATAAATATAATGTGATATGTACTTCCTCCGATTCTTAACAATTTTTTTATTTTTTTACTTTGGTCCATCTCATAACTAAGTATTCATTTCATTTTTAGTAATTATACTATCTACTTAACATTACAAATATCCTTTTAATTTATACAATATATTACATTATACTTTTATTTCTACTACATCCCAATATAATACTAATATTTGTAAAACTCCGTGCAAAAAGCAAAAGAATAGATAGATATATAGCGAAAAGAGTATAATATATGATATTTACTTATATAATATATATTGATCTAATGTTGATTTGACTGAATCAATACGAAATCGTAACCATATATATATATGGGATAAAATACTTTTAAATTCAGTTGTACTCTATTTATGCGAATTTCATTAAAAATCATTATTACAAAAATTATATTTTGTCTCGAAAAAAATTTCATATACTCTAAAACAATATTTAAAAAATATATAAATAATTTTAATTTATGTGATCTTAGAAATTATGAGCCTATACTATAAATAATGTCATTTTAATAAAAAGATTTTGAAGAGTGCTCTTTTTGCCAAAAAAACATACATATTTTTTAAATAGTTAATATATTATACATATTTATTATTTTTATATCCCCTATATAATTTTTTATATTTAATATAAAAAATATCTCTTCAAATTATTTTACAAAACAAATACAGATTTATCAATTAAAAGATAAATAACAAATATAAAATACTCCCTCCGTTCGCCTCTAAGAGTTGCATTTATCTTTTGCATCGTTGTATTTAACACTAATGGAAGTATTTTTGCAATTTTTTTTTAATTTATATTACGTTTAATAATTAATATTCAAATATCAACACACAAAAATTAAATGAGACATTTAAAACCGGACATAGATAGTATAATATTTCAAATATAAATAATTTGTAAATATTACTTTTTAAATAAAAATGTAAGAACTTGATTACCGTTGACTGACTTAAATTAGTATTATGTTTGTGTCGCATATAAAAAAAAAAAAATAACACGAATGTACACTTTCAAATAGCACAATACTGTCATTAGTTTATACTTGTAAATATATTTATTGTCCTAGAAATCAATATTAGAGTATATTGAGTGGACTACATGATATGTTGTTAGGTATGTATTGCGTTTGTATATATTACTATAAATTGTTTGTTATTTTTTATTTAAATAGGTATTGCGAGAGTAACGTCTTCCGTGAAATCGAGTCGATGATAAATTTTCTTTCCGAAAGTTAGAAACACCCCCGGTAGTGTCTCTAGTAGCGAACATTCTAACAAAAAAAAAATGTTTTTTGTTGGGATTGTGTATATGCTCCAATCTCGTCCACTTGCCAATTTTATTACTTTGATTTGAAATTAAAATTTTAGTTTAAATAGTATTATTTCAATATAATTTTTTATTAAAAAATAATATACTTTTACTAAAAAAATCGTACTCCCGGTTCAAAATACTTTTTAACTAAAAAACTGTAATTCCTTACTCCCGGCTCAAAATACTCAATTTACTACTTTTCGTTGTTTCATTCAAAAATAACACTTTTAGTAAAAATAATCAATAAGCTAAGAGCAAAATACCCTTTTAAATTTTTATTTAAATTACGAATATACTATAACACATACAATTATTTTAAATATAAAATCAAAAAGTAAAAATGTCAAAATATTTTTCGTATTTTCACTGACCAATACAATATTATTTTTTAATATATTACAAAACCATAAAAAGTACATTCGAGAAGAATAATACCCCCTCTATCCCATAACAATAAAATATCTATTTACTATTTGTGTCGTTGTACTTAACATTAAAAATATCTTTTATAATTTTTTTTTGTACGAATGTCATTATATTAGTACTATAAGATAATAAGAAAAATAATTTTGATATAATAATTAATATTCAAAGATCAACGCAAAAAATAAATGAATACTTAATTACAAGAGATGGGGAGTATTAATCTGATTTTGAAGTAGAACCAAAAATACATTTTTAAAGATACTGAGTTGACAATCATAATCTCCATGAAACATGTACATAACAATTTTGAAAATCACTCTCATATCGAACAATGTAAATAGCCAAGCTTAGGAAGTACCTTTCAAATACGGGTCATCCCTATACTTGCTATATACCGGATGTTCGAGCGCTTTCTCCGCGACATCTCGATCTTGGTGGATCTTCGCCACTAAGCTTTCGAGGGACGGGAAGTTAGTCTGTCGAGAGAGCGGGCACAAACACACACATACGTCAATTGTTTGTTAAGAAACAAAAGCAATGCTAAGCAAAACATCGATCGGATTAACTTTGGTCGTTTGACATACCTCGGGGCGTATATAGCCTACTATAGCAAGACGCAAATCTTTGCCGTAGAAATCCTCTTTAAAATCATGAAGCAACCATGGCTCCTATGAGTGCAGAAAATTAACGAATATAAATCAACTTAATTATAATAAATAGTTTGGTTAATTAAACAAAAAATATAGCGAATCGCCCTCAAATAAAAATAAAATAAAATTTGTTGATTTGAAGAAAGATGGAAATGAAGATTACTTACGATTGTCTTCTCGGTGTTGTTGAAGTAAGGGTTCCAACCGATGCTCATTACCATTTTATAAACACCTTTAGTTGCTAATCCGGCCCATCCAAAATACACGCCGGAGGGATGCTCCGAAACAAGATCTGAATAATCCTCCGTGGACAAGTTAGCTGGAAAATGAGGAAAAACAACCATGTGAGAGACCAAACTATTATTCTAGTAAAAATATATTATTTTTTCTTACAAAATATTACATCAAAATATTATTTAAATAAAATTTCAAAACCAAACACACCCAAGTTTATATGAAAAGTCACAACTAAATAGCAACCACAGTAGACTTGAAGAATCAACAAACCTGTGGGGATTCCAAGGACCTTCGATCCTCTACCAAAACCTTTAATGACCGGACCACCAATGTACCAAGGTTCTATAGGTAAGGTACCTTCGATCCCTGTACACGAATGAAGCATATGAAATATAACATTCGATCTTGACGCTTAGTAGGCCTTTGATAGAAATCCTTCGAATGATGAAGAAAAGCTTACAGTCTTCAAATGGTGGTAAACCCCAATTTTCTAACCGCAAATCTAGCAGTGAATTGATCACCTCATCTGCATCGGTGAATAGGTGGGACTGTTTAGGCACTGATGGGACGGCAACCACTTCCATTCCTGCGGCCTTACCAGCACTTACACCTGGTCTACAGAACAACCAATTTTTTGTATTAAAACCTGTTTACGGTAGACAAGAAATGCACGAACAGAAAAGAAGAAAGAGCAACATTGTCAAGTCATAGCAACATTACAAATGCTGTTTGCTAGCAGATAATCGATTGTCAAACAGGGGCCGATACAATAAGATTATAAAAACCTGCAAAAAGCTTTGACACTCACAATGAATCTTCAATGACAAGACAGTTGGAAGGATTCACCTCAAGCCTCTTAGCAGCTTCAATATATCTAAGAGAATGAAACATCAAATAATAATAAGAAGTGTTCAATCGAGCTGTGTAGGAATCTGGATAAATCCCAAGTTTTAAGTTAGTCCATCTTACATCTCAGGTGATGGCTTTGGATGGGCAACTTCATCGCCACCTATAATAACAGAGAAAGATTCTCTCCAACCTGAAAGTTACAAGTCGGTCAATGAGATACATGTTCGAGGTAGACAAAAACAATAAGTTGGTTAAATTTATCTAATTAAATAGAATTTTATATATAGGTACCATGATGAAAAGATATCTTTGTCTCAATATTTGCCTTAGAAGAATTTGAAACCAACGCTAAAGTCACGTCATGACCCCTTAAATGGTTAATTAATCTGTTCGCCCCTGGTTGAGCTTTGATATCGCACCATCTATTATTGCATTAGTGAAAATTAAGAACTGCAATCTTCAAAAACAAGAGATGAAGCCTACTATGTATAAACTCCATATATGGAAAATTGCATCAAAAGACAAAGGAAAGCAATAAACATAATGTGACCGTGGATTACTTGTTAAAATGACGAAAAAAATAAATAAGAAAGGTAAATGGTATAATATCCACTTCTATTTTATTAAATGAATAAAATACCCTATGTTTTATTTCTTCCGTGAAATTCACTCGTATTATATTAAAGTAAGCACGAAACACCATCTTCATCCAAATACTGAAGTTGTTCATAAAAATGTGTTTAATTATACAAGTGTTATACAAATAAATTGGACAAACTGTCTTAAAATCATTTTATGAATAAAGTAAATAAAGAAAAAATTGATCAACCATTCATTGCACATTTTATAAAATTAAGTTACAACCGTCTTCATTTTACAAACTATGAAAATGAAGACTTGATCAATTTTTTTTTTAGTCAAATAATGATATTTAAGACATTTTGTCCAATTTATTTGCATAATACTTGCATTATGATGTGTGTATTTACAAACACGTCAGCATTTGGATAGAGAGAGTGGCTTATGCTCATATTAATATAATATAATAGGATTTCACACAATAAATAAATAAATATATTTTATGCATTTATAATAAAACACATAGGAATTATGCAATTTACCCAAAAAACGTATTGAAATTATGCATTTCAGAATAAAACTAGCGATGAATAATTCAGTAAGCACACTTTGTTACATTCCTCTCTCCATTTTTTTTCCCTCTTTTTTGAGCCTTTCTGAAAAATAAATTTTAGGATCACATGCCTCAGCGATGCTAATCAAATGCTTAAATGAAAGGCCAAAGTAGATGGCCGACGTGATTGGAGCTTTATTAATATAACAAATAACAGAGCATACACAAGAAGTAATCTTACTTGGTGGAGAGTATAGGAGTAATATCTGATAGCAGTTCATCTGTAGTTACGGGAAGCTCGTACTCTTCAACAAGAGTAGTTGCAGCTTCATAAGGTGTCTTTCCCACAATATTATGCGCTATTTTCCCGTCCCATTGCTTTTTATACTTAACCAAGTAGCCTCTGACAACATCACTCACAATGCCATCTGATCTCAAAATTTTAAAATGAATAAAAATGGAGAAAGTACGTCATGGCATGAACGAGAAAACAAGCCAATGCAAGACAGAAAAATGATAAATCTCCCATGGAATTTGGTTGCTAAACCGATTCGAAAAGCTAATGATATACTCCCTCCGTCCCAAACATGGTGAAACATTTGGTTTAGGCACGAGTTTTTAGGTGGGTAGTATTAAGTAGTATAATTTAGAAATTAGGTGATGTGATGGAGAGAGAAATATATATTTTATTTTTTTATTTGGATGATGTGAGGGGATAAAGTGTGGGGTAGAGATTAAGTATAATTAATTATTTCCTATTTTGGAAATGTTGCAGGGTGTTTGGGACGTACCAAAAATGAAATATTGCAGGGTGTTTAGGACGGAGGGAGTATTATGCAAGATTCATCAAACGAATTTGATATACATTCCAACCATGTCCATGTTTCCCCCAATATATCGAATGCTAACCATTTAAAAGGAATAGCAAACAATAAAAAGGATGCACTCATTAAGTAGGAGCACAGTGGCAACAATCCATTATTGTAAAAGTTATAAGCAGCAGAATAAAATAGCATCTAATTAAATGAATAAAAACAAATCTAGTCCTTTAACATTTATATATGAAGTATTCATCTTGTAGCATAAATGTCTTCTAGATTGTAAAAAGGCACATTCTCTTTTCATTTCCTCAGCCAAAAATCGTACAAACACTTTTTATATAATTTATAACAGAAAATTGAGGAGAGGAGATATAGAGAACCCTATGGGCCAACCTGTATTAAGAATAGTTCCATCCAAATCAAGGAGTACACATGAAACAAGCTTTCTAGGGGTCTTCGCCATTGATGTACCCATATCTGTAGCAGGCAAAGAAATGCTTATATTTCTGTAAACGAATTCCTCTCCAAATAACAAGGTTAAGCATGAAACAAATAATTGATATTACAGTTCGTAAAAATGACTAACAGGGAGTCTCTGGTTAACTCCTTTTCAAAACCAACCAAGTCAGTAAATTATATAAGATTCAGCAGTATTGTATAATCAATATAGGAGAACAAAAGCAAGAACATTAATGACCACTAAGATAAAGAATACATAAAGAGAAAATTAATTTAAAAAAAGAAAAAAACCACCAACAACAACAACACATCTACTAATTTGTAGCTACCATGTGACGACATTGTGTGACTAACACTATTAAATAATTAGAGATTGCTTGGTTTAAATGCCGATAAGCAGCTGAGTCAAAATTGCTTGAAATTAAGGAGCAAAAGGAACGTTGTCGACATTCAACCAAAGCATCTGCATTATCAACTCCTTCACACACATATATATTCTGATTTAAGGTTGATCATCTGGAACAAATATGGCATCATTTATCTGAAGTTCAAAACGCAGGATCATTGCTCGACAAGGGAACATAGAGACAATAAACAATAAGACAATCCGATCAAAAAAATAACAATAACAAAAGTAAAGTTCTGCTCAAATCATTCCTCAATAAGCACAAAGCAAAGAAAGATGATCATTTGAAAAAAAGAACCGTAAAATCCAATACTTCCCCGAGTCCAAACAGTCCATAAACTCTAGATTCAATTTTAAAACATGTGAATACCATTTTCAATGTTTTTTTCTTTCTAAAGAGTGTTTTGTAAGTAATGGCTATAAACAACATGAAAAAATGTATCTAAAAGTTTAATCAGCAGCTTTTAAATAGTTTGTGTAAGGAAACAAATAACCTAATCCACATTCAGCTCATCTTATCTTATGCAAGCGATACTAAGAAATCCTCACTATTATCAACTGTTTCCACAATGACAAATTAAATTAGTCTATGAACACAAACAAACAAAACAGAGCAAAAAAGAAATCAATTACGACAATAAGAAATAAATCAAAATTTAACCTGATCAACATCGGACCTAAATCAGCATACCAACAATAAAGCAAAAAAAGAAAAAAAAAATCATCAAACTCGTTTCAAATTGAAATAATAAAGCAACAAACACCTTCCAAAATAAGTAGAAGATAAGGTCGATTAGATTGGGTATAAACGGGGCAAGACCCAAATCAAATCTGAGGCTAGAAATTTATGATATCAAACAGGACGAGTAGAAGTGAAGGTCGGAGTAAGACTGACATGGAAGCAAAGCCAGACTGCAAAAGAGAATGTGCAACGAACTTGCCCAACCCAACCCGTTTCCAACCGCCGGTCAGATAAGATAAGATAACTATATTCAAACCGCGATTCCGGTTCATAAAAAATGGAACCGGTTTTCTTACTGCCGGTCACTTCCACAGGATCTGTTCTGTGCAGGGTTAAAGACAGAAGGAAAAGGGAGAAATATGGGTAGAAGATGGGCGATAGGTAGACTTGCCCATTCGGTTTCGAACCGTCGGTTCGAACCGCCGGTTTGATGGTTTATGAACCGGCGGTTACGGTTTGAACCAAACCGGATGCAAACCGAACCGAAACCGTAGTTCCGACGGTTCGGTTTCGGTTTGTAGTTTCTCCAAACCGTGAACCGTTGGTTCAAACCGCCGGTTTACGGTTTGAACCGGCGGTTCGGCCATATATTTTTTTTAAAAATCTGGCCGTCCGTCGCGCAAGAGCAGAGCAGGCAGGGGAAGAAGAAGAGGTGAAGAAGAAGAAGAAAGAGGAAGAAGAAGAATTGAAGAAGAAAGGAAAGAATCGGTGAAGGTGAAGAAAAGAAGAAAGAGGAAGAACCTGGTGGCTGCTTGGCTAGTGCGGCCGCGGCTGTGGTGTGGGTGTCTAAAATGATTTATTAGGTCTTAGGGTATTAGGATTTTGGACAAATTTGTATGTTTTAAAATTATAATAATATATTTAACTTAAATTTTTTATATATTATCAATTTTTTTATTAAATAAAAAATTATTAATAATATTAGAAAATACTAATACTAATACTATAATATTATTTTTTATTTATATTTTGTAATTTTTAATTATATTATCAATATTTTTATAATTTATTTGTACTTTTTAATTTATAATTTAATTGCTTATTAAATTTATTGTTTAAATTATTTTTACATTATAATAATCTAATTAATTATTATTCATATATTGAATATATAATAAAAAAATTTAAATAAAATAAATTATTTTTAAATAAAATTCAAATTTTAAAAAATTAGAAAATAAAAAATATATATATTAAAAATAAATATATACAAACCGACGGTTCAAACCGTAATCGGCGGTTTATAAACCGTAATCGAAACTGTCAAACCGTAATCAAAACCGTCATTCAGAAGATTCGATTTCGATTTGATATTTTGACAAACCGTAATCGGCGGTTTGAACCATTTGGGCAAGTCTAGCGATAGGACATACTTGCCCAACCGGTTTCGAACAAACCGGAACCGCCATCGAATCGGTATCGAAACCGTCACCGGTTTTCTCAAGGTTCAGTTGTGCAGTGCCGCGGCTGTGAATGTTTGATGCTTTGATTAGGGAAAATATTTTGAATAAAGTGTATATTTATAATTAATACTAAAGTAAAAATTAATAATAGTTCCGGTCAAATCAAATTTCTTTTTTTTATTTTTAGTTTCATTCAAAAATAATTATCTAAAAAACTAGTCCCACACAATAATAAAATTATTATTTTTAATCTTACCGTTAAAATTTAAACGGATTATACTGACGTGGTTGTAACAGAAAGTGAGGTGGCATTTGACTCGGATCAATCACTGCCGTGTTACAAGGAACACAAGGCCGTGTTTGAACATAAAACACTTTTATATCAATATCCATATTGAAACACGGGCGTGTTCAACTTAAATCCGACCACATACTTGTATATATACATACATGCGAGTGCGAGTGGCGCAGACCTTCCACAACTTCTTCGAGAGCTGGATCATGAAGCAGAATCAGTTCTTTCAGGAACTCCTTGAGGCATCCAAAACCACCCCGACGACGTTCTCCCCATGTTCAATCCCGCCCGGCGGAGCAGCCTGGAGGACGCCTTCCTCTGGATCGACTGATGCTGCCCCCAACATAGCTTTCCACCTCCTCTACTTCAAGTTCGGCCTCCGGCTCCAGGCCAACCTCACCCATCTCCTCCGTGTCTCCTCCTCCAAATATGCGACCTTGCCAACCTCTCCTCCGCTAGCTCGAGCAGATCGAAAACACCAAACCACCAAGAAGCACACCCCCGCCGCCATACGCTCATCCATCGCCACCACAATCTCCACCAGGAAATATACCATCGCCGCCGTAAACTCAGCCGCCACCTCCTCATCCTCCACCGGAAAATACCCGGGCGCCGCCGTATCACCATCCTCCACCAGGAAACACTCCCGCACCCTCTCCGATTCCCCACTACTAGGTAGGCAATGATTTTTTATGATGTTATGTGAATTAATTGATATATATTATTATGATTATTATTATTATTATTACTTATGTTATATATTTTTGATTGGTCAAAATTGATTTGAAATTTCTGATTTGGATATTGATGGATGTGAAATTACTTGCAGTTGTGGTTTTTTTCGAATATTTCTAGCCCCAGGTATCAAACACAGGCGTTGTCCACTTTCAAGACGTCAGTGTTTCAATACGAGTATTGATATAAAAGTGTTTTATGTTCACGGCCGTGTTCGTGATTAATCCGAGTCAGATGCTACCTCACATTCGCCTAGTTCGTTTAAATTTATCGGTAGGATTAAAAATAATAATTTAATTTTTGTGTGAAACTAGTTTTGATAATTATTTTTTAATGAGACTAAAAAAAAAAATTGATTTGATTGAGACTATTATTGATTTTTAGTCTTAATACTCTGTCGGCTATGTGTCATTTTTACCGCAAATTTCCTTTAATGTACGATATTTTTAAAAGAATTATAATTAATAAAATTTAAAATATATTAATAAAAATAATTATCGTATAATAAAAATAATTTTAAATTAAAATTAAAATAATGTACTAGTTGACAAAATAAGTAGACAAACAGAAAATAAAAAAGTGAACACTGCAGGTGGACCGATGAAGTATTATATAATATACAAAAGATATACTCCCTCAATGCCAAACTAATTTGTCACCTTGGTTGGGGTATGAAATTTTGTAGATATTGTTTAATTAGTTAATAATTAAAAATTATATTAGTAAAAATAATTAATATAACTAAATAATTTAAGTAAAATAAAAAAATTATAAATTATAAACTTTTAAATTGAAATTAAAATGTATAATTATATTCTAAAAATACAAATTATGTTGGACAAACTGAAATAAAAAAAAAAATTGATAAATTATGTGAGACGAATGGAATAATATAACAATATTATATTGTATGTTCATATTTTATATTTTTATAACTTTTATTATATAATTATATTTAATTAAAATAATACTCCCTCCGGTCCGAAGGGGCCTATGACGTTTTATAGTATATTAAGATATTTAATAGTATTTTATTAGTTAATGAAAATACGTAAGAGGTTTGAACATTTTTGTCATTTGACTTTATGTAAAAAATAATTGTATGTGTAATGATATGTTTGCAGTTTAGATAAAAATTAAAGATATTTGAGTATTAGTGTATGATTATTTTTACTAAAATATAAAAAGATATTTTGGAGTGAACGGATGAAAATGATAAAAAATGTACTTTGAATTGAGACGGATGAAGTATCATTATCTAATACATTAATATTTTTTACTACTTTTTTTATTCAAAATTTTAAGTTAATTACTTATTTATTTTATTATTTTAATATAATAATATAATTAATTATTATTTATATAGTGTTTACATAATTAGTAGGAATATATATCTAAATAAATGAACAATTTTTAAATAAAATTAAAAATTTTAAAAGTAGAAAAGAAAATTATTTAAAAAACAGAGTTTAAAACGAAAATCGCTAAATTGAAATCAAAATTATGATCTACAATGTCGTGGCTAATATGTTTTTTCAGGTGAGTTTGAAAAAAATTAATTTAAATTTGCTACTAAAATAATGTTTCAAGAAATATTTTGTAAAAAAAAATATATACTCTCTCCGTCGCGTGAAGGATGAACCTTTTATTAGTAAGTTATTAATAATAAGTTATGATATTAATTTATTATTTTTTATATGAATGATATTATTGGTATTTTAAAAATTTTTAAAATTATATCTCGAAAAAATATATGCAATATGGATATTTTTTTTGTAGATAATAAAATTTTATATAATACAAATAAATAAAAAACAGAAGATGTTAAGTATTTTGTGGATATTATTTTTATTTATTTATCATTATCATAAATTAGTTTTATAAAAAATGAGAAATTTTAAATATAGATAAAATATTATGTTAATTGAGGAGAGAGATAGAAATAAAAGAGTTTTGAGTAGGTCTACACGTAAAATGTTATAAGTTTAATTAAATTTTAATTTATATTTGTTAAGTATGTTTAAGATTGATAAAGTTACCAAAAATAAAATTGATCATCTTTTGTGGGACATTAAAAAGAGAAAATGAGTCAGCTAGATGGAAAAAGTATTTTTTTTTATATTATTTACGCAATTTTTTATATATAATCTAAAATAATATTCATTAAAAGTATTTTCCAAAGTAAATACGCCCATAACTACTCGTATTATGACGTGTATATTAGTGCTAATTAATATACCGTGGCCCTAGAAGTTATTTGCTTTGACTTATAAATTCAAATTTTTATAAATAATTTTTCTAAAAATATATTATTTTTTATAACATCAATAAATTCAAATGAAAATAAAATCAAATAAAATCAAACAAATATTAATTTAAATTCATTTTAAAAATCATATATCAAATATATAAATTTTTTAAAAACATTAAGTAAAAAAAAAGTTTTTTAAAAAAACAGTAACACACAATAATGCGTATCTTTTATCCTCAAAAATATTTTATGAACGCGTGTACAGCATTACCAGCGTAATGGCTGATAAATCATAAAATAGTCCCGAAAACCGGGGACCAGAACTCCAGGACTGATTCCATTCCCAATCAAGAGAACACTGCCTCTGGAGTTCTTAATCCCGGACCTCCCAAAATTCACCCTATTTGATAGCTGTTGTTATTCCGTGTGCAACATGCGTAATTTAGCCTTTTCCTCGAAGCCTTCACCGTTCATTCATCCGCTGCTATAAATTGAAATAAACCAAACGCCATTTTCGCATTATAGTCATTCTCCCAACGCTGAAATTACGATTTTCCTCCACCCATCGCCTACTGCCAAAGCTCCGGTCAACTCCTCCGGCGCTAATTCCGTGTCGCCGACGTAATTCGTCCCATCGTCGGAAGGTGAATTTTTTTGTGGTGCGCAATCAGACCAATCGTCGCCTCCGATCATGAATCCGGAATAGTACGCCCTTTTTTTTTTTTTTTTTTTTTTTCTCATGTTCTTTTGTTATTGGAATATGTTTGTGAAATGAAATGGTTGAATGATTTACTGTTTGAAATTCGGTTTTTATTTGGTTGGGATTGGTAGATCCGCTAGGTTTTGGATTGAAACTTTTTGGAATTTTGGTTTAATTTTGCTTTGGCCATTTAATGATGTTAGATCCGTAGGTTTTCTGTCTCTTTTTTGAAAAGTTGAGAGGTTTCTATGGTTCGTGGTGAAGCTACTTGTGATTTGTTTTGTGCTCTGCGGTGATAGTCTGATGTCAATCTGAATACGAAATTAAAATCTAAGAAAATTCAGGGTATAGATGACTGTATTGATGGGATCGCTGTTATTGTACGATTGATTTCTGAAATCATAATTGCAATCGAGTGACCTCTCCATTAATTGCGAAGAAACATATGATTTTGATACAATAAATGGTGCGATGTTTGATTCGGATTCCATTATAACAGAATTATTTCTACGTGGATGTTGGAAACTTGTAAGATCGTACATTTTGCAATTGCTTGAATGCAATTTCATGAACCCTTCTGATCTCAATTGCTATCATCCGACTAATTATTTATTTAATGTTCGTTTTTCAGTGATTATTTGTTCAAGCTTCTTCTAATTGGAGATTCAGGTGTTGGAAAGTCATGCCTTCTCCTTAGATTTGCTGTAAGTGTTCTTATACTGAATTTTGCATTTGGGAAAGCGATTTGAATGCATTGTGGCTCTGTGATACTATCCTTATTTAAGAAACTTGAATAATGGGGAACATTTGAATTTCATTCTCCAATTCCCTTATTAAAACTGCCAACATAGTTTTTCTTTATTCAAATAGTTCTAATCAGTCCAAGGATATGAGGATTGAGGTGTTCAATATTATCATTTGAATGCCAATTTTGAAAATCATTTCTTGAAGTTCTCGCCTGGATAATAAATACTTGATTTTGCCTGCAACTGGTTTCTGTTACGATGAGATGAAGGCTGGGCATACTGACCTTCGCTGTAATTTTCATGCAGGATGATTCCTACCTTGACAGCTACATCAGCACAATTGGTGTTGACTTTGTAAGATTGAAGCGTAGTGGGTATTAAGTTTTGTCTTTAAATATAACAGTTCTGATTGTGTTTTCACTTATACAGAAAATTCGAACTGTTGAGCAAGATGGGAAGACTATCAAGCTTCAGATAGTAAGTTTTTTATTTGTTCAATTCCATATTTCTCATGGATTTACCAACTAGATTTTTATGGGTTGATAGCACATTTGGATATAGCCATGTATTGGTCTTAGTTTCTAGGTTTTGTATTCATTTTTGAGGTTGATAAATGATTAGCACATGGTTTTCTAATCACATTTTAGAAATGAATTCGTTGCTTCCAGCCAGCTTGTTTCCATGAAAGTTTTCTTCATGCTTGCTTTATTTTTGCCAGATTATTTATATCCCACTAATATGTTGATGATGTTTCCTCTGTGATTACCTTTTCTTTTTTGTCTTCTCCAATTCATGTGAAACTGCAATAAGCCTTACGTAGTAAGTTTGCTCACATGCTTAAATCTTGTTTAGTTTATAACTTTGTTTTTCCTCTTGCAGTGGGATACAGCTGGACAAGAACGATTCAGAACTATAACCAGTAGCTACTACCGTGGGGCTCATGGAATTATTGTAAGCTTATTGCATTTTGATTCTTCCTGTGTGTAGCATCTAAACACATTCTCAAGCTGTATCGGTTCTCTACAGATAGTATATGATGTAACTGACCAAGAGAGCTTCAACAATGTAAAACAATGGTTGAATGAGATTGATCGCTATGCGAGTGAAAATGTCAACAAGCTTCTGGTAGGAAACAAGTGTGATCTTGCTGACAACAGAGCAGTTCCATATGAAACAGCAAAGGTAAAGAATTTCAACCCACAGAGATAATATCATAACAATTAATGCTGTACTGAAAAAAACTTTTGTCATTCCCCTTTTTTTTTTTGTTTTTAAAAGGCATTTGCGGATGAAATTGGCATCCCTTTCTTGGAGACTAGTGCCAAAAATGCTACTAATGTTGAACAGGCCTTCATGGCCATGACTGCCGACATTAAGAAGAGGTTTGCCTTTACACTTGACTGTTCCTTGTTCATTCAACTCCTTTTTTTTCCCCACAAAAACTTTTGTCTTTTGACTTACTATAGTTTGTATTAACTTCTCACTTTCCAAGCTTGTCATTTGACTCATTTCATTATGAACACATGCAGGATGGCCAGTCAGCCTGCGTCAAGCAATGCAAGGCCGCCTACTGTCCAAATTCGCGGACAACCTGTTGCCCAAAAGAGTGGGTGTTGCTCTTAGTGGATTTATTGATTTGGCACCGGCCAGGACAAAACGACTTGCTACGATGATTACCTTCCGGGGTATGTCTTATATTAGTTACATTCTTTCTTTATATATTGGATCTGCATGCTGGCTGTACAAATTAAACGATTCTGCTTACTCCTGTATTAGTATTTCTTAGTCCCGTTATCTTTCCTTTAGTTCCTTTCGTCTGCAGTGTTATCTTTGCAAACAGCCTCTCGGAAACTTCCGAATAGCAGCATCTTGGAATGTAATGTGTGTTTTGTGTTGGCACTGAAATTGGGGTTATCTTCCTTTAAATAAATTGCTCTTAAATTTTTGTTGTTGCCGCTCGTCTGATCCTACTTTGGTATTGCAATGGTAAAGCCCTGACATTGTAGTTAACTTTGTAGACAGTGTTGGCAGCCTAGGATGACTTTTCTAGCTGATGTGGTTTATAGGTTATTGCGCTCGGCTCAGAAATTTACCCAGTGCGCGCTTGAATAGTAGTTGTTCGGGATTCTAGCATTTCTATAACTTGTATTTAAGATGCACACAACATTCTCCGGTATCCCCGGTGCTGTTGTATTTTTATTTATTTATTTTGGATATTAATATATCTCTGGATTTTTCTGATTAGAAAAAATGCACACAACATTGTCTATTCTCCGGTATACCTATGATCAGAGTGCCCTAATAATTCTCAACTAAAATTTTCAGATTTGAAAGAAAAATAAAATTGCAAAAATTAACATAAACCACGACACTTTGTGCAGTGCAGTGTAATGCATATTTATACATTACTTATTCTACTAATCCTAAACACTGTCGCATCGCGAACAGAAACATACATCAAATTCCATACAGTGTTTGTTAGTATTTTCCTTGTTTTACCCTCAAATCCAATAATTTGGCAAAACCCAAACAAACACACAGGCTTTTGCAGATGATTGGCGGTCTGAAAACTCAGATTTCCCCTAACCTCTACGCCTCTATATTGAAATCTTGCATTTCTCGGAAATCCATCGGGCCGGGCAAGCAGCTGCACTCCATCTTCATCCTCAATGGCTCTATATTCCACGACGTTAATTTGGCGACAAAGCTCGTCAATCTCTACTCCGTCTGCAACTCCATGCCCTACGCCCGCTACCTGTTCGACAGAATGCCCAAATCGAACATCTTCCTCTGGAACGTTCTGATCCGCGGCTATGCCTGGCACGGCCCCTACGAGGACGCGATTTCGCTCTACAATCGCCTGTCCGATCACAAATTGGTGCCCGACAACTTCACCTTCCCCTTCGTCCTCAAGGCGTGTTCTGCTCTCTCGGCGGCGAACGTCGGAAGGAAGATCCACGCCCGTGTTCGCGACACGGGGTGGAACACGGACGTGTTCGTTGCCGCCGCGCTTATTGACATGTACGCCAAGTGTGGCTGCGTCGCCGACGCCCGCCAAGTGTTCGACGAAATTACTGAAAGAGATGTAGTCCTCTGGAATTCCATGCTCGCTGCATATGCTCAGAATCGGCTGCCGGCGGAGTGTTTACGGCTCTGCGCCGAGATGGCGGCAGCGGCGTCACCGGAGTTTCGGCCCACGGAAGGTACAATAGTGACTGCAGTGTCCGCGTCGGCCGATTCGATGGCTGTCGGCCGAGGCCGCGAGCTTCACGGCTATAGCTGGAGGCTCGGATTCGGCTGCAACGACAAGGTCAAGACAGGACTGATCGATATGTACGCCAAGAGCGGGAATCTAACGGCGGCGAGGTTTCTTTTCGATAGATTAACCGCGAAGAGATTAGTTGCATGGAACGCGATGATCACGGGTTATGCAATGCACGGCCACGCGCACACCGCGCTCGATTTGTTCAACCGAATGGCGGGAGAGCTTCGGCCAGATCACATAACGTTCATCGGAGTTCTCTCGGCTTGTAACCACGGCGGATTATTGGAACAAGGATGGAACTACTTCGACTCGATGGTTAAAGACTACGGCTTAGAACAGAGTGTCGAGCACTACACGTGCATGGTCGATCTCCTCGGGCGTTTCAACCGATTAAATGAAGCTTATGATATGATAATCAACATGCGAGCAACGCCCGACGCCGGCGTATGGGGCGCGTTGCTCAACTCGTGCAAGATCCACAAGAACGTCGAGCTAGGGGAAGCCGCATTGGAGAGGCTCGTCGAGCTCGAACCCGGCGACGCTGGAAACTACATAATGTTATCGAATATCTACGCGCAATCTGGGAAGTGGGAAGGCGTGACGAGGCTCCGGAGATCGATGGCGGCGAGGGACGTAAAAAAAAGCGTCGGTTGTAGTTGGATAGAGGTGAGGACCGAGATTCACGCGTTTGTGTCCGGCGACACAACACATTTAATGTCGGATGAGATCTATGCGGAGCTGCGTTCGTTGGGCGACTTGCTCGCGCGAGCCGGATATGTTCCGAACACGTCGCCCGTTTTTTACGATGTCGAGAGCGATGAGAAGACGGCGGCGGTGAGCAGCCATAGCGAGCGGCTAGCTATTGCGTTCGGGCTCGTCGCTACACCGCCGGGGACGAGGCTTTTGGTGACAAAGAACCTCCGAGTTTGTGAGGACTGCCATACGGCGATCAAACTCGTGTCGAGGATTAAAGGGAGGGAGATTGTCGTTAGGGATGTTAATAGGTATCATCATTTTAAAAATGGCGCGTGTTCTTGCTCCGATTTTTGGTAAAATATAAAAATCCACATTGACGGCCTGATTGAAGAGGGCTGATTTGGGCCGGGCCCATGGCCGAAAAGAGAGTTGTTGGGTGGTGTAGTTAAAATGTTTGTTTGGAAGGTATTTGGGCTTAATCTAGCCCAAATACATGTTGGGTCTCTATTTGCAAGGCCCATAAGTGTTACTGGGCCAGCCTGGATAAAAGTTGTTTGAAGCAAATTATTTCTCCTTTTTGGAGTGAATTTCATTTAGAGTGTGTGTGTGGTGGTATAGATAATAATTGCATAGAAGTAAGAGAAAAAAATTGTAAAGAAAATGAGTAATAAAGAATGACAATTAATTTTTGTATTTGGTAGAATAGGGAACTCATGTTGGGAAATAAAAAAAAATAAATAAATAAATAAAAAAAAAATAACAAATTAGATGAATTGATATAGATGTGATTACCGAGGGAAAATAAAAGAATAAATAAATCAAGGAAAATAAAAAATAAAAAAGGATTTTAATAAAATAAAAATTTATGAATAAATATTGTTATATTTAATTAGTAATTCTTAATAATAATAGTTTTGATATGAATTTTATGAAATTGAAAAAGTATTTTCTTAAAAAAATTATAAAAATAAATAAATAAATAAAAATATATATTCATGTATAAAAACTTTATTTCTTTTCGTTTCTTTGCAATTAAGAGAGAAATAAAAATAAATAAAGAAATATCATTTATTTTTTAACTTTTATTTCTGGCTTAAACAAATAAAAAAAATGGACCAAACACACTCTTATAGTATAAACATTTTACCGAAATAAAGTGTCAATAATATATTTTTATAAAACATAATATCAAGTAATAGAAAAAAACATATAAAAATACATGCCAAGTGATTGAGTACTATGACACTTTTGTTTGGATAAATTAAATATAGTGGGTAGGTAGCATAAAGAAGCATTAGGGCATTTACTTTGGAAACAATTTTAAAATTCTTCTTTGGTCAAAATCCTATACTAATTTGTAAAACTTTTTCTTTTATTTTTCTGTCACTAACATATATATATATATATATAGTGAATTTATTATGTGCAAAATATTCATAAATATTGTCTTTTTCGGTAAAATATATTATTTATATTGTATTTTTTAGTAGATTTGAAATTCAATTAGGTTATTAGGTTGATTCATTTTAAGTTTGTATGTAGTCTTATAATGGGTAAAGAATGTACTGACTATGCATTCAGATTAGTTAATTTATTTGATAATGTGTTTGTTAGTTTGTATATAATGTCTTTGCATCGTATCATTTTTAATTGACTCATCTAAATATATCGTTCTTACGGTTGATTCTTTGTATCCTGCACACTAAATCACTTTATGTGTTGAATCATTCCAGTGTTATCTAGAAAAACAGACGAGGTTAAAGAAAAAACTATACAAGAATATACTAATGAAAATATGATATGGGTGTCAGATTACAAGAAAGAAAAGTTCATATTTTGAGTTTGAATGGTCTTATTTGTGGAAACATCACACTTCTCTAAGTCGTGATGGTAAACTACTTGTAGTAGTTGGAGATGATCCAAAAGATTTTTGGGTGGATTCTAGATGTGGAAAGGTATGCTACCTTTATTTACACTGTAGCTGTCTAGTGATGCGTTCTGTACAATGACTGACCAACTCTGAGGCCGGCCAGCTTTTGTTTTGCAAGCAATTGGAACTCTGCATGGTTATTTGGACTACTTATTTGCATCAGCCAACTTGGTACCCCACCCCGATGGCATAACCAAACCTTTGCAACTTAAAATCAGTGTAAAACTTGCAGCGTTGCATTTGGGATGGGATATTAGTGCGTTGAATGAAACCTTAGAGGAATTCGCTCCATAGGCGCCTAGGCGGATGGAAAGTTCATGTATTTGGCGGAGCTTGTCTAAGTTTTTTATGTCGAAATTGGTTAGTTATAAAAGGAGCAATAAATTGATTTCTTTGGCCAGATATCTGGGATCTCATTTAGCCTGAATTCAAAGTCTCTTTTCATTGGAGTGTGAGATTGTACGTATGGTAGCCTTCTTGAGTTTTGGGAGGGAGCATATCATATCAAAATAAGAGATAATACTATTAAGAACAATTGAACGTTTTTTTTGTAATGCATGTATTTTTTTATGTAAGTTACATCTTAAGGAGAAATAAATAATAAAATTGTTTCCATTATAATTCTCGAGTTGGTAGGCTTAATTTTACTAAAGGTATAATACTTCGGAGTTGGGCCGGTGCTAGACCAACTCCCATGGATGAGCTAGTGCTAGGCCATCCGATGTTGAATTTAGGTTAAATAGATTGAATAGACTACTCATGTCAACAATATGCATGTTCTTTTCAGAAGTCTTACTAAAAGAATTCTATAGTTAAACATGCTTGCTCTAGAGAAATTTGAGGATGGATGACCCACTAGGAAGCCTCCCAAGGTGCGCGTGAGTGAGGACAGAAGCGCGCTGGAAGGACTCGTGTTGACCTGTGGGGCCAGTCTATGATATCAACATGCTCGGCTTCGGATGGCTTGCGGGCTAGGGTGTCACAAAAGGTAACTAGAATTTAGTCGTAAGGGCGTGTTATTTTGTTTTAAATTAGTAATATTCATTTCGAAGGGCAAGTTCAACGGCACCATTTCCGAGACTCCCGCTAAGGTAATTTTGATTGATCTTAATTAACTAATCAATGTCTTGATTATTTATGCATTTCATCTCATCTCATATGATCTGTTGATCTATCTTCTTCAATGGCGTTTTGGTTATTATGTTGCTGTAGTATGTTTAGGAAACAAGCGCTTATTTGAGAGCAGCTGAAGGATCTGAGGCTGGTCACAGTCTATTTTAGTTATGAATTTGAATTAATCATCTTCATATGACTTGATCGATAGATCTATCGTGATCTGAAGCATATATACTTTGATATGAATTGGTGTTTTGATTTGATTATGTTAATTGTGAAGGAGTATGATGAATATGTCGGCGGACGAAGGTCATTTCATCTCAATGTTGCTCATAATAATAAACGCAAATAAGTTGATAAAGGTCAGAGTCTTCACCGGATAATCTCTCAACTCCACCACCTTCGCCTAGCCCTCCTTGATGAAGCCTTCGACACCGGCCTGCCTTTTATCCAGAAGGCCGACATGGCGGACATAAACGAATTCATCAAATCCGATGCCATGAAAGTCCTCCAAAACCTTATCGACTAAGGTTGGTACGCTACACCTATCAAATTCAAACTCAAATTTGAATTCATCATCACTTGGGTTGGGTTGGGTTGGGTTATAACGGCATGGAGGATCCACATCAAGAATTTTAACACATTCCTCACTAACTATTTCCATGTCAAGCTCGTCATCTCTCTGTCACCAAGGTTTCACTCTATGCAAGCCCCTCACTTGACTACCTTTAATTTTAATTTTTAATGAATTTATTAATTAATCATAAGGTTTAATAGTAAAAATTTGGTTTTAAAATCAAAACCTTCATAAGTATTATGAACAAATAATATGAGGTAAAAGAAAAAAATTCTAAGAGAGTTCAGTTAAAAAGGTTAAAATTGTGAATCCTCATCCTAACTTTCAAATAGACACCCATTTATTTTTGGTTCAAATCAATCTCACAACTGCAAACTTGATGACTTTTACGAACCTCTTCTGGTTCATCATTTGAGAGCTATGTTATATATCTGATTTTAGAACTTACACCCTTCCATCCTAACATTATATAGATGAAAATAATTGTTAGATTAGATGTGTCTGTAAAGTACAATATAAATAACAACAACAAAAGTACAAAAGAAAAATAGAAAAATAGAAAAAAAATCACTTATATCAGTTCCATACTCAAAGCCTTCACCAACGAGAGGATGGAAACCTGTAATGGTTGCCACTTCTTGTGCGCTGGGAATAGACTTAATTAACGCTAGATCACAAACCTTGTACATCTGAGAGACCATATAATGAAGTTAAGTACTCGAAAGGAATTGAGCATTGTTAACACACAAAATGCATTTAGTGCTCAATATATTTTTATAATTCTTGATATCAAGACCAACTATATGAAAAAGATGGTAATTATGTTTAATTAAATTTTATTCATAATGCAGTAGAATATTTTATCATAATACAAGGGATACAAACATACAAGATTTTGTATATCCTAAACTCTATTATGTCAGTAGTTCTTATAAGTAAAATTTAATCAAATATTACAATTTTACCTTTCTCATACTACACAAAAAATTAAATGACATGATGAATTAAAGTTATCAAAATATACCAATTTTAGTAGATTATAAGTGAAAACATCTTTCCAAAATACAGACAATAGAAAATGTGATTTCACACATAACCCTTACCTCTAAAATTGTATACATTGGTGCTTCCCCAATTTTAGTGGTTCTAGAAAGGAAATTGTTATGTTTTTTATAAGCTACCAACAAATATTCCGAGGTAGGCAAGAACTAGATCTTTACCAAATGAAAAAAAAATGAAATGATAAGTATTACAACATTCGAACGAATGTATCAGAAACATTGAAACACCATAATTATCCTACATTCTTACATATTTATTTATTACAATGGACCTATCACCAAGCTAATTGGAAACATTTGAAAAATACATATACTAATAAACAATATCATTTATTTCCAAAATTAGTTACTTTTCCATTGTAAATCTCATTTATAACTTTCCAAAGTATAGATACAACCAAACACCAAATTAAAATTTGGTATTTACAATTGATAAAGAAGTAATGAGAACATTCAATTGTTATGACTAGCAAACAACTCAAAGGTGGCCATAGGTAAAATAAACCAAATCAAATAACACAACTAACATATATTGCAATCACACATTCAGGTGCCAAGATTAGACGAGATCGTAAAGAAAAATCAAATTTATATATTAAAAAAAAAACAAGTATCAACTTTAAGAAAAGATAATAGAATTGGATAAACTTGTGATATGCAAAAAAATATGACATTCCTATAGGTCCAGGCTCCATAAGAAAATATATTCTTAATTCAAACATAATCCAACGAGGACGAAGACGAGGAAGATCCTTCATTGGCTAGAAACATGCTACACAAACGGCTACAAATATTCGCATGAAAAAATATGAGCATTCATTTCCCAAGAAATATAATATCATACGTAAGCGTTTGAAGTCATCTTACCATGGGAGAGAAAAGGAAAACAACTTCTTTTAAAAAAAAATAAAAATTATGGAGATTAATTATGTATAATGAAATTTTATATTGGAAAGTATAAATCAATTCACATTGGGAATAATCTTAATATATATTAATGAAACC